ATGGGGGGATGCAGGAAAGATGTAGGGGGGATGCAGGGGGATGCAAGAAGGATATGTGGGGGATGAAGAAGGGATGCTGGAGGAATGCAGGGGGATGCAAGGGGATGCAGGGGGGATGCAGGTGGGATGTAGGGGGATGCAGGAGGGATGCAGAGGGATGTAGGGGGATGTAGGGGGGTGGCTCTGAGCATCTCGGTAGTTGGACCATCACTGCCCTCACACTGTGGCCGGAACGGAGTCTGCAGCTGTGCGAAGTGATGGAGAAGAGGGAGCTCTGACCCAAACGCCTCCAGGATCCCGGCACGCGTCGCTCCCCACTCACGTGCCCATATGTGCTAACGGCCGCGCTGTGGGGCTGCGCTCGTTAACCCGGCGCTGAGCACAGCCCCCAGCCCAGCTGCCAGCAATGCCCCCTCAGGAGGGGCTCTGGGTTTGCAGCCCAGAGGGAAACGTTAGCTGTGAAAGGAGGATTCATGGTGCCCAGAGCCTGGCAGCAGGATTCAGCCCCTCTCCCACATCCCTAAATGAATACAGGGCACAGCCACTGGGTCTGTTCTAGGATGCTCGAGGAGCACCTGAGCTTATTTGGGGTGATTTCCTCCACTTAAGGCAGGGATAGCAGCTTTCTGAGCCCACTCCTATTCTCCCCGTGCTCAGGATAGCATCTCCCTCCTCGGCACAGAGCTGAGCATTGCAGCGCAGGGCAGAGCACGGGGTTGGTGCTGGGGGGCTGCTGGGGGGGCATTTCTGTCACAGCACCGAGCATAGGGAGCAGGATGGCAGGTGGTTGCATGACGTGGGGCTTTTTTTGCACGGGACACGAAGCGAGGAGGGGGACTCCAAGGTGCCGCGTGCCCAGATGGAGCCCCAGCTCCGACATCTGATCGCCGCCGAGAGAACAGCGCCCGCGGCGTAAATGGTTTTATCCTGTCCCCCTCTGCATCCTCATCCTCTTAGCGCAGCGCCGTGCCGGGCAGCCCCGTGGGCTGTGTGACCAGATGTGGTCGGAGTCCCATCGGGGCAGTTAGGGCCGTATCGCTTACGGAAAAGGATTAGAGCCTCCACTCAGCATCCCACTCCCTGCAGCCTTTGGGATTAGGATGTCACACACACACACACAGGGCTCATGGAGAGCTGGGACCCTCCTCATCCTCACTCTGCAAAGATTTCATAGGGATGGTGTGGCACCCAGGGTCTGGTTGTGGCGTGTAGGGGTGACCCGTGGGGTGCAGGTCAGACCCATGGGGTGTGGGGAAGACCCATGCCACTGTCATCCCTCAGGATGAGAATCTTTCTGGGGGTCTCTTGCCCACCTTTGGAGCCGCTCAGCTTACGCAGGGGGATAATTTGGGGATGCAGACACGGTGCCCTGCATAGAGGTGCTCACCGCATCCCGCGGCCCCTCTGCACGACGCCCATCACTTTTGCACATCCCCCAAAGCCACATTTCAGGGCTGCTCTCTCACCTCGCCTCGCATAACCCTGACTGTAGGAGGGGGCACATCTGCCAGGCGAGTTTCTGTGGGGCACCGCGGGGACAGCCCCGTTCCTCCTGGGTGCAGCCCCCCGCCTCCCCCACACCGCCTCTCAGCCCCACATCCCCGACTGCGCTCAGGTGGGGGATGTGGCTGCGTGTCCCCCCCGAGATTGAGCATCGTCCCCATCAGAGGCAGCTCTGGGGGGGGGGGCCCGAGTCCCCAAGCTGGCAACAGATGGCTGGAGGCAGCTTGCTGACACCTGCCCCTCCTCTCCGCCTTGCTCCTGCCCTTCCCTTTCTTCTCTGCTTGTTTTGTTTCATTTCCCAACACTTTCTGTGGGTTCCTCTCTGCAGAGTCCGCCCCCAGGCCAGGGAGATGGGGAGGGATGGGGAAGGTCTTGGGGTCCCTTCCAGCAGTGCACAGGGTGCCGGACCCCAAAGGATCTTCAATGTCCTTGGCCACATCCCTACAGATGCTGTGGGTCAAGGCTGGACCAGGGACTGTGCCCACACTGAGCCTCTGGCTGTGCTCTGCTCCTGCGTGTCATCTGCAGCCTTCAGGTCCTGGCTGCCAGCTTCCAGCCCAAGTTGATTCCCAGGAACATGCCCTCCTCCTTCCTTCTTGCACCTCCAGAGCCTGCAGCAACAAGGGAATATCCTTCTGGATGCAGACAAAGCGAACAGCAGCTCCCCAGCATCCCCCAAGCATCTCTCAGCACTTCATCCCATCCCCATCGCAGCAGAATGGGAGCGAGGTGGGTGAGCTGCTCCTGCTGGGGTTTGCCTCTATTCACCCTAGAAATGGCTGCAGGGAAATCAGCCCTGGGTGCCCTGCAGCTGCAAAAGGGAGAGCTGCAAAGGGGAGGGATGCAAAAGGGAGAGCTGCATCCTCCGTGGTGCTGGGATCCTTCTGAATGGACAGGAAAGGGCAGTTGGGCATCATGGGGAGGATATCTGAGGTGGGCACGTGGAGGATGGGGTTGTGGAGGAGGAGCTGGGTGCTGTGCCAGGGCAGCCCTGCGACAAACAGCCGCCACCAGCTGCCTTGATAGCTCCGCTGGAAGGCTTTAGGGTGGGCTCCAGCAAGCAGATACGCAGGGCATCATCATCCCCCCGTGCTCTGCCCTGTGCAATCTGCCCCCTGCAAACCCACCCCAGCAGGAGAGCATCCCCCCGCAGCTCCTGGGCTGCTGCATGCGCCTGGCTTCATGGCACAGAGCTGGGGAAAGAGAGTCACCCCCCCACCCCGCACCCACCCGTCCCACCCCCTCCAACCCAGTGCATCCCTATAAATCACACTCTGGCATGCCCCCTCCCCTTCGGCGGGGTTTGGGGGTCACCTGTGACCCCTGGCAGATGGCGCGGGGACGCCCAGCCCTCCGCCAGGAACTGTTGCAGCCGCCATCTGTCGGGCAGCTCCAATCTCAGCAGTTCTGCCCGCCAGCTCAGCATCCCCACCCTGGGACCCCGTGCTGCTGCAAAAGAAGAGGGGGTGGGATGTCAATAGGAGGGGATGTAAATAGGGTGGGACACACTCATCACATGCACGCACATGAAGTTGCCCTGCTGCTGGTGGCTGTCCTGCCAGGGGAACCCGAAATCCTAAGGGGAAGAGGAGAGGGTGTACATGTGGGGCTGAGCACAGGGAGGAGCACAGCACAGCTCAGCACAGTTTTGGGGTCTTTGTCACCCCCAGGTTGTGAGGACTCTGTGGGGATTTGGGGGATGGAGTTACAATGGGTGTCATCTCCTTTGGACAAACTGCACATGGGGTCCTGGGTTTGTGCTCTGTGCTGGGGGGCACTGGGGAGGGCTGGGGGTCTCTGGGGAGAGTTCAGCTGGGCTTCAGTGCAGGCAGCCCCCAGTTCCCCTATGATGGTCCTCGGGGAGGGGACACAGCCTCAGGGACACAGCTTGAGGGACACAGCAGCTCAGAGGGCCCCAGTGGGGCAATTCCTTGGGGCAGGACCCACTGGCAGCTGCTTGGAGCAGGAATTAGCCTGTTAGCACCCAGTTGGCTGCAGGGCTGGGAGAAAAAGGGATGGGGGAGGACAATTTTTGGGGTGCTGCTCCGGATGGATGAGGCCCCCAAACCCACCCTGACCCACAGCAATGAGGAACTGAACTCATTTCCTTCCAGCATCAGTATTTATTCCACTTGAGGTTGCTTTTGTCCACTGCAAATCCCTCACAGCCCCCCGGCTCTCCTGCTGTCAGCAGGCAATGCCACACTCAATGGCACCAGGGCTGCCACCTCCATCCCCCACAGCCTCCATATGGGCTGCCCTGCTCCACACCGGTCCTGTGGCCATCCATCTCCCAGGACAGGACCAGTCCTGCCCCATATAGGGGGCTGTGCTGTGGGGCAGCCCATGACCCCGGAGCAGAGGGGCTGCAGATGCCCCATTCCTCCTGGCTGGGATGTGGATGGGCTCAGGGTGAGATGACATAGGCTGTGGCGATGTATTTCTTGCCATAGCCGTAGGTGGACTTGGTCCAGGTGTAGGTCTGGATGCTGACGCCGTGGCCACCCAAGCTCAGGTGACATCTGTGGGGACACACAGCTCTGCTCCACACCGTCACCTCCATGGGGTGTCCCCATGTCCCCAACCCCACCCCAAAGCTGAGGGCAGTGGGACCTGGCTCAGCTGCTCCATAGGGTTTCCCATATCCTAAATAGGGACAGGAGGGCACTGCTGGCTCCGTGGCCAGAGGACAGACAGACGGACGCAGTACTTACGCCCTCCCAGGTCGGGCAATGAAGCACAACGTGTAGATGCCAAATTCAAACTCGGGGCTGCAGCCGATGAATGCGGAGCCCACCTCCTTGTAGAAGCCGTCCCAGCTGAACTGCAGCCCCAGTACATCTGGGTAGGTGTCCCACTGGAAGCAGCAGAAGAGGGTTTGGGAATGAGATCCTCCATAGCAGGGCGTGGGAGCCAAGCAAAGCCTGGCTGCACCCCAAGCAAGGCAATCCCAGCCCCACATTTGCCCCATTTGCCCATTGCAGTGGGACCTGCCCACCCTGCTTCCATCCCAAGGTCCCATTATGGGGACAGATCAGGCTGAGCAGTTCTGCTCCACATTCTGGGGGTCTTGGTTTCCCCCCTTGGGATGCAGCTGATGGAGTGGGGTCAGCACTCCCTGCCCAAATCCTGCATTGCCCCGTGGGATGGCTCACCGGCCCGTCGAAGTTGTGGCTGAAGTAGTTGACCAGTCCCTGCTTTTCCAGGAGGTAGAAGCGGATCCAGTTGTGAAATCCACTCACTTTCCCTTTTTTAATCTCCCCTAAACACAAAGGAGAATCGAAGTGAGCCGGGCACCCAAACCCCAAATCCCCCAGCTTTGCCCCCCTAAAGCAGGGATGTGCTCAGATGGGGCTGAACCCCCCAAATCCCAGCTCTGCTCTACGGTGCTGCCCCCAACCCAACCCAAATCCCCCATCCAGGACCCCAAGGAGCTGCCCCACATTCCCCATCCTCCTGGGGTGCACTCCACCTGAGAAGACATGCTCGAAGCCGCTGGAATCCTTCTCTCCATCACCTCGGGAGTAGAGCCCAAACCACATCTCCTTCAGATCCTGCAGGAATTCCTCCTCGGATCCGTAACGATCTGCATGCAGAGGGAAGGAGCTGCTGGATCAGCACACGGACCCCATCACGGCCAGCCCCGGCCTTGATCCACGCTCACTTTTTTTATGGAGGAAAGCAAAAAGTTTCTTCATGAGCTCCGTCTTCATCACCTCCTGGAGGAAGACGTTCTGCTCCTGCAGCTCCTCGGCCGTCACCTCCTCCTCACGGCCCGTCGCCCTCTGGTAGTTGTCCAGCAAACGGATGAAGCTGGCGTAGGTGGGTTTGGAGAAGAGCTTCTCGTTGACGTATGCATAGAGCCTGGGAGAGAGCAGGACCTGAGCTGGGGAGGAGAGGGGTAGGGAGGTCCTATAGAAGGGTCCAGGTGGGCTGAATCCATGGGTTGAGGTCAATGGGATGAGGTCCAATAAGGCCAAGTGCTGAACTTGGGTCATAACAACCACCAGGAAAGGTGTGGAGGTGCTGGAGTGTGTCCAGAGAGGGGAATGGAGCTGGGAGGGGTCTGGAGCACAAATGTGATGGGGACCGGGGTGGTTCAGTCTCGAGAAGGGAGGATCAGGGGTGACGTTATTGCTCTCATCAACAACCTGAAATGAGGTTGGGGTGAGGAAGGGATGAGAAGTGATGGCCTTAGGTTGCACCAGGGGAGCTTCATTTTGGATGTTATGAACAATTTCTTCTCCAAAAGAGTGGTAATGCGCTGGCATGGACTGCCCAGGGAGGTGGTGGAGTTACCGACCCAGGAGGGGACAAGGAATGGCAAGGATGTGGCACTTGGGGACATGGTCAGTGGGCATGGAGGGAATGGGCTGGGGTTGGACTTCGAGATCCTGGAGGTCTTTTCCAGTGTGAATGATTCCATGATTCTACAACTCTATGAGTAGAGATCCCACGTGGAAACCATCCCTGCCCCCAGCCCAGCTGTTTGGGTCCTGGCCATGGCATCCCCTTGGAACCATAGAATCATTAAGGCTGGAAAAGCCCTTTAAGACCATCCAGCCCAAACCTCCTGGCCATGCACTGATGAAGCACACTCACGGCTCAGGGGAGCGATCCTCCTGGAGCCCCGTTTGGTCGGGGGCAGCCCGGTGCTGTGGGTTGATGGTGATGTCGTTGGGTTGAGCCTTGTTGTGATCCGCCCCGTAGAGCTGCTCGGAAACGTGGAGCAGCTCCTCATCGCTGATGGCATCGTGGCTGCTGGAGAAGTGCTCTGAGGAGAGAGATGGGAGCTGGGGGGCATGGCATGACCCCAAAGCACGGAGGGGTGCTCCCAGCCAGCACTAAGCCCTCCCTTTTTGGGTAAAAGCCTTCAGGTGTGATGCTGGTCCCCGCAATCCCTATGGGGTGATGCTGCTCACCTTCACCACGTCTGTGCACCGCTTCCTCACCTGCACAGAGCCAAGAGAAGAGCTCAGGGTGAAGGAGCTGCGCCCAGGACCGTGCACCCAACTGCAAAGCAGCGCAGGTGGATGCATTCAGCCCTCTGCACCCCGTTACTGGGTGCTGCCCACCCATCCATGCTCACCCGCCCTGCAGTGCTCCAGGTAATCCCAGCAGCAGCTGTTGCGGCTCCAGCAGTCGGAGTCGCAGTGGCACTCATCCTCGTGGCTGTAGGGTTCCTCGCAGCGTCCCCTGCAGGAGTCGGGGTCCGTGTATAGGGCTTTGGGGGAGAGAAACAACAGTGTGGTTCTGTGGGGCAGGTTGGCAGTCCTGCTCCATCCAGACCCAAATCTGGGAGCGGATCTTCCTTCTGGGTCCTGGTGGACAGCAAGGGGACAAAGGGACAGCATGGGGACAAAGGGATAGGATGGGGACAGCCACACTGGGGGCGTCCAGGGGGGAGAAGAGGAACTCTTGCTGCTGTGGGGCTGAGCAGCCCCTCAATCTGCAGCATCCCAGTGCCCAAAGCGCTGCCTGTGCGCTCTGGCACCGTTCCCTCCTCACTTTGGCAGAGCAAAATGGACCAAGTTCCATGGCTGGAGCTACTTGGGAACCTCTGGGATTTTAGGGTGGATGAGTTGGGTTTGGATTAGGTGAGTCCTCAGGACAACGTCTGTGGTCATTCAGCCACAAGGACATTGCAGTCACTTGGCACCAGGAAGCACCTTCCTGGTTCCTCCATTTGTTCCTGCCCTGATTCACCCACTAATGCCCATCTCAGCCCATGCCCAGAGGAGCACCACATTCCAGACGCCTTTATTTGCAATTTGCAATGAAAACAGGGGACTCCTTCCTGAGCTATTTATACTATCCATGCATCATGCAGCTCCATTACACACCTAAAATTAGAGCTGAGCCCCAGGCTGTGCTATGAGTGGTGCCCACGTCGTGTCCCAAAAGGACAAGGGGCACTCACAGGCACCAAAGTAGGAGACAGCACTGGCAAACCCCAATCCTGCTGTGACCTCTGAGTGTTGCACTGAGTGATTTCTCCCTCCAACCACATTCCTTGCTCTGTTGTCATGAGTTTCGCCCCAGTTCTGCTTTATGGAGCCACCAAAACTGTGGACTCACAGGTGGTGGTGGGAGGGAAGAACCTCTTTGCCTCAGCAGCCCCAGTTGGGCATTGCTGAGTGCTGCTTGGCTTCCTGGGGTGCTCCTGGAGGAGATTTGCCCGTGGTTCTACTTCGTCCCATCCCATGGTTTGAGATGAGTGCTGCTCCATCTGCCCCCAGGTCACCCAGCTGAGCAGGTCTGGAGCCCAGATGAGCAGCAGCAATCCCCATCCTGTCTCCATCCTTCTCACTCCCAAAGCACCAGTGGGGATCAGTCACCCCGAATGACACATCCAGGCTCGTTTTCCAGCTCCAGCCCTGGGGAGATTGCACAAGGCAGGAGCTGCCCATGCGTGGGTAGCACTGTGAAGTTCCCTGAGCATGTTATGGCAAAGCCCAGCACTGGGATGCACTGCAGCTCAGCAGGGCTGGGAGCTGCACAGAGCCTTCAGAGAGAGCTCAGCATTGGCCATTCCCTTCCAAGGCTCAGGTGCAAGAAGAGATGCAGCATCCCAGATTTTTCCCTGCAGGAGGATGCTTGCTCACCAGTTTTGAGCCTAAATACAGCTATAGGGCAGCCTGCAACTCTTCATGGTTATGTTAGAGCTGCTGGATCTCTTTGGGGAAAAGAACCAAAGGGAGGAGATCAGGAGGAGAGGAATGTGTCCTGCAGTGCTCAGCACAGCATCTGTGCAATGCTGTGCCCAAAGGATTCTGTGACAAAATGCTGTGCCCATGGGATGCTGTGCCCAAAGGATGCTGTGCCCATGGGATGTTGTGCCCAAATGCTGTGTCTAAAGGATGCTGGGGATCTGTGTGGGGGGATCTGGGCTCATCCTTCTGCTCTCATCTCTGACCCATCGCTCCCCATCACACAGGACTCAAGATTTCTGCCCTCCCCCAGCAGAATCCTCTCTCTGCGGTTGCCAAATGAGGCAAGTTGAGGACAGATGTGGTTTTGGCAGCCAAATCCTCAGAATGGCCCCAAAACAATGGAGGAGTCTGCACTGAGCTTGTGCCAAGATCAGTGGATACTCTGCCTGTATGGAGCCAAAGAATTCTTCAGCTCCTCAGCCAGATCCCTGCTTCTTAACGAGGGTCATGAATCAGGATGAGAATGTGGTGACTCCTCATGGGCAGGCCAACGTGGAAGCAGCTCCTCTTACACCTTGGCCTTGCAAAACTCCTCACTGCTCATCCTGGGCTGAGCTGCCTGCTTCTGGAGCGTCAGATACAGCTCACAGCATCAGAATGGTGATGAAACTCCTCGAGTTGAGAACAGACCACAGGTCCACACTTCATGCAAGAATGCAGCAATAGCAGCAGCTCATCACGTGCAGCGTGCCGATGAGCAGAGCCAAAAGCACGATGCTCAGACACTGCTCCTTATTGCAGCAGCCATCCCTGCCCATGCAGCCTTCGAGCCCTGCTCTGCCCCATCTCTCAAACTCTTTGCTTCGTGTGCATTGCATTGCATGCAGCTCCTGGCCATACAGAGCAGGGCTGAGCCCTCTAACTCACACCAACAGCTGCAAGGATGATCCCTGAGCTCCACAAGCACCTCTTGTGTGATGACCGATGGGGTGACCAAACCTGCTGCCACCAAACCTGTCCCACAGGTGCTGCCCTGTTGACCAGGGATGCTCACAGCTCTGGACGCCACCAGCAGTTCTGGTGATGCACAGGGAGGTGATGACAGCTTTCACATCGCTCTGCTCACTGCCCGAGGTGTGAGCTGGCTCAAGGTGAAGCCAGGTGAGAGCCTGGGGTGCTGGGAGCCACAGAGCATCCCAGTGTGCTTCCAGTCTGAGCACTCTAGCTGTGCTGGTGTGGCTGTGCGGCTGAGTTGGGCAATCTGGGAGCTTTGGCTGGTGCTTGCCATGGGTAAAACACCCAATTTCGTGTTGTGCCTCGCAACCGCTGGGCTCCACCACCCCCATCCAGCAGCAAGAAGGAGGTTTGTGGGTAAGGAAGTGGAGAAATTGCCCTCAGTGCTCTCCCAGGATGGAGGAGCAGAGGGAAGGTGGGTTTGCAGGAGGAGAGCACAGCAGCATGCCCAAACCCAGCCAAGAGAAGGGCAACCCCCATTCCATCACCAGCAGAACCCCCAGGGAAACCCTCTAGCATTGAAACATCCCCCAGTCTTTGGGAAGGATCTGACCCCATTCCAATCACTGAGTGCACCTGAGCTCCCTACTCCCCAAATCCCCCCTTCCTTCAGCCCAGTGCAGCCCCTTCCCCACACAGAGCTCTGGTACTCACAGCCCAAGGCCATTCCCACCCCGAGGAAGAGGATGAAGGCCTTCATCATCCCAGCGCTTCGCAGCGTCTCAGCTCTCTGGCAGTGATGTGGGTGCTGCTGAGCTCTCTCTGCTATATGAGGGTCCCCAGAGCTGAGGGAGGAGCCTGGTGAAACCAAGGACCTCACTGCAAACTGCACCCCGACTTCACCAGAGCTCGTTACGTGTGCGTCCTAATTACAGCCTACCCAAAGTGGGAGGAGGGCTGGTAATTCCAGCTCCTGGGATTGCTCCACTCCTCTGTCTGCACTTCCCCAGGGTGACGGTTGTGGAGCAAAGGGGAAGCATTCTGGGGGGATGGGAGGGGGGTCCTCACCTCCACGGGGGATCAGGGTGGGTATTGGTGCCACTGGGTGCAGCATCCCCGCATCCCCCTGCCTGTGCTTCCCCAGAGAGCCCCACCACAAGCCCTGCATGCAGCCCACAGCCCTGGGAGCTGCGTTTTCCTTCTGCCCATCCCCTCTTTATCACCACCAGCAGGACCCACGACCCCCCACCCCACACACACACACACCCCCAGCCCAAGCAGACGTCCCTGCTCTGAGCAGCACCCAGCCCAGTGGATGCAATCTGCGACCCTTCCAGCAGCATCCATCACAGCACCCCTTGGCACACAGCTGAGCAGTTCCATAAGGAAAAGGTTTGGCATCCTTCTCACCCCTCTGTCATTTCCTATCCTCCTCCCCGAGCTGCTGACCCCGCTGACACGTCCGTGCTGACAGCAGTTTTTGTTTTCTGGGATGATTTGGTGTCATCATGAGCTGAGTGTGCACGGGTCACCTCTCACACCCTGCACATGACCAAGCTGGGAGATGCTGTGAGATTTGGGATTTTTGTAATTGCTTTGAGACCAGCTTGCCATCAGCCTGAGGCACCCGGCGTGGGTTGAGCTCTGATTAATGCTGGTTGTTCAACACTGATGGGGAAAATGCCCAACAAACAGCAGAGGTGGAGGAAACAGGGAAAAGACAGAAAGATTCCTGGCTGCAAGAAGTGAGAGAGATACCATGGCACTGGGTTTTGGCTGCAACCATAGGGCGTCCATTCTGCTCCTCTCCGGGATGCTGGGATGGGGGATGGATCCTTCAGCCCCACAGGAGGAAGAGGAGGAGATGTTGGGATGTGGAGCAGCCACATGGAGAGGTGGGAGCCCAGCACCTGCCCTCTTCTCTTGCACCCAGAGCTTCTCCCCATGGAGGAGAGCAACCTCGTGGGGCTTCTGCTCCCCATGGGAACTGCTGGTGGGATGGGATCTAAAGGAGGAGGTGATCCTGGGGAAATCCCAGTGTGGGTGTAGCTTATGGAAAGTGTACGGAATGGGGGGTGCTTGAACCAGGGGAAGCAGACAGGGCTCAGCTTTTCCACTCGAGCTGAGATGTCTGCAGCCAAGCCCGATGTTGGGGCCAGCATCGTGTCTGCAGGAGGAAGGGAGAAACCCTGGGACACAACCACGGGCCCCAGGCAGCAGATCTGCAGGCTGAAGGTAATCCGCAGGCTGGGATCCAGCTGGAAAACGCAGAGCTCCCACTTAACCCTTCCTTCCCCAAAACGAGCTCCTCCACATCGGGGCTCCTTGAGGGCAAGGAACCTGGAGAAGGTGATGGAAGGAGATCTGGGCTGCTTGATTTGGGGCCACATGGCAGGGAATCACTGCTCTGCTTTGCCCCAGCTCACCTGGATGCGTTCAGGGGGTGTGGAGCCCAAAACCAGGGGGACAGGGGGTGATAAGAGCTGGTCCCAGCTTTCCAAATGGGGATGTTCAGCAGAGCAGGACTTGCTCCAGCACTGACACCATGCTGTGCCCAAGGGCAAACACCTCAAGAGTGTTTTGGGGAGGTTGCTGAGCACTGGGGGCTCAGAGCTGGGCTGGTTGGCTGTGTGAGGCTGCAGGAGGATGGCCCTATGGCAGAGCTGAGGACAGTGCCCAGCACTGCCCAGATCTGTGCGGGTCACACCTGCATCCCAAATGATTCACAGGGGGAAATGCTTCACTCAGGAGCCAAGGAAGATGGGAACCGGACCCCCTGCTCACCCCACTGGTGGAACAACGCCAGAACCAAGGAGCAGAGGATCCCAAGGGCCATGGCATGGACACAGGGGGGTCCCAGGACCCCAAGTCCCATCCTGGAGCTGGCTGCAACATTTGAATCTTCTCTTAGCTGTGATGGGGAATTTTATTGTAAGCAACCCAACCCCATGAACTGTGAGGTGGAACTCAGCAGTGCTCTGGTCCCTTGTACCCCAGCCCTGCTTGGTACCCTGCAAACGTGGGAAGACTTTAGGGGCAGGGATCAGCCTTGAAGCCCACAGCCCCAGATTCCTCCTGCTTATAGCACTGGGACAATCATTGCTCCACGCACAGCCAGAGCTGCAGGGAGGGGTTTGGGAAGAGCTTGATCTGACCCCCATCTCCATCACTGCATCTTCCTCCCACCACAACAGATGCTGCCCCATCTCTGCTGCTGTTGTTCCCCTGTCCATGTGGGGAAACTGAGGCACGCAGGTGGCTGAGCTTAGCCCAAGGGTCCACACAGCTCCAGGGAGCTGAGATGGAGGACACAGGACATCCCAGGGGAGAAAACAGGACAGAGGGATGGAGCCCAGCACCCCCAGAGCAGGCAGCATTGGTGCTGGGGGCATCCAGGGCACCCTGACTGTGCAAGGAGCGAATGCAGGCTGCTGCATGGAGAAAGAAGGTGAGCACAGCCTTGCATACAAAAATACCTCTATTGCTCACTGCGTGGGGGCTGCAGACCCTCCTGTCCATGGCCTCACCTGCCCACAGCCCCCGTGGGCTCCCAACTGCACGGATAGGTCTGGCTCCCATAGCAGAGCCATGGGGCTGCTGTGCCATCAGCACACACAGTGCCACGTCCCTGCTGAGTCCTTGCTCCCTTTCCCTCCTGCCCATCAGGACTCCAGGTCACGGGAGAGCCTCAGCAGCTCCTTCTGGCTGTCGATGGCTTTCAGGTGCTGCAGATACGCCCAGGTGGAGACGGGGCTCCGCACGCTCAGTGACTGCTCCGAGCCTGCAGGGTGAGGGATGGGCTCAGTGAGACCCCCCCTCCTCATTGCTCACATCCCCATCTCTGCCTGCAGCCTGACCCACGGCTCCTCCTCTGTCCCCCCAACTGGCTTTGTGGGTCCTCCTAAACTGCCCACCTCATTGTAAACCCCCTTCATCACCCCTTCTTGGTTCACGGGTCCCCCCTCTTGCCCAGCTCATTGGAACCCCCTCCATCATCTCCAATTGGGTTCTTGGGCCCCCCCCTCTTGCTCAGCTCACTGAAATCCCCTCCATCTTCTCCACTGTGGCTCTCTGATCCCCCTCCATCACCCTTAGCTCAGCCCACTGAACCCTCTTCGTGTGGCTCATGGATCCCCCCTATTCCCATCTCAACGAAATCCCCCCAACACCAGCATGGTTTCAGTTCCCGGATCCTCCCCCCCCCCCCCCTTGGCACTAAAGGAGCAGAAGAAAATGGGAACAGATGCATTCCATGGGGCAAAGTGATGCCCAGCTAGAAATGCCAAGGCACCAACAGCACCATCCCAGCGTTCACACCCTTCCACTTTTAAAGAACGACAGGCACACACCAGTGGACCCCATTAATGCACTTAACGAGTAGACCTCATTAAGAGCCCAGGGTCTCCCAGCCCCACACCTACATGTGCTGATCCTGATGGCCCTGGCATCCTCTGGTCGATGTGGGGAGCGATTCCGCAGTGGGGACAGCGGAGCTGGGTGCATACAGAAAGCAGGAGGTGAGCGACGGCCCCCCCAGCTCCATGACACCCCCAGCCCCATGACCACCTCAACCCCACGACCCCCCAGCCCCACTCACCATGGGCCTGGCTCCGGCAGCGCTGCAGGACGCGCACCGTCTTTGCCATCATGTGCTGCAGGCAATGCACAAAGGTGACTCGCTGCCACCCAGCAACATTTCGCTCCCAGCTGGGAAAACACCCTCCAGCTTCAGCAGAAACTGCCCCATGTCCTCCCCACCCCCCACTGTAGGGCACGGCTGATGCTGCGTGGATGCTCTGGGCCAAGCAGTGCCCCCAAAGGATGGTCCAAAGGGAGCAGCCCCCCCCCATCACTCACCATCTTCTCAAAGTTGATGAGGTTCTCGGCCAGCGTGCGGTTGCCCTCGTGGATGAAGGTCAAGTCTACAGGAGGGGATGGGGATGGGGGGGGTCGGGGTGAGCCCAGGATTTGGTTTCTCAGTCCACTGTGAGCACAAAGCTGTGGTACGCACCTTTAAGGAGGAGGGGGATGAAGGGGATGATGGGGGGGCTCAGCTTGGCGACAGCCAGACGATAGACCCGGTGGTTCCATGATGGGTCCTGGAGACAGGCAGAGGGATGGGGGCTGATGGGGCAGCAGAGATGTGGGGAGGGGGTGCCCTGGAACAGCACATCCCAAATGCGGGAGCGCAAATTGTACCACCTCCGTGCCATCCCTGTGATTTTTGTGTATTAGGGGAAGCAGGGAGTGGCAGTAAACCCAGAGGTATGGGGCAGGGACAGACCCCCCAGCTCTGCTTCCTGACCCCTAAGCCCCATTCCATCACTGAGACCCTCCAGCTCCATGGGAAGCAGCTGCACTCACCAGCATCCGCTCCAGCGCTGCGTGCAGCTTACGGATCTTGTGGGGCAGCCTCTGCACAGAGAGTAGGTCAGAACGGCCCCATGAACCACTGTGCCCAACCCCCCTAAATTTCCATGCACCTCCAAGCCCCCCATCCCAATTCCCCTATTTGGGATCTGTGATGTTGCTTGCTCTGGGTGCTTGGCAGCAACGGTCCTTCCAACCCAACCATCCCATGGTTCTATGATCCTTCAGGACCCTTCCATCCCAACCATCCTGTGGTACTGTGATCTTTAAGGACCCTTCCAACCCAACCATCCCATGGTTCTATGATCCTTAAGGACCTTCCAACCCAACCATCCCATGGTTCTATGATCCTTAAGGACCTTTCCAACCCAACCATCCCATGGTTCTATGATCCTTCAGGACCCTTCCAACCCAACCATCCCATGGTTCTGTGATCCTTAAGGACCATTCCAACCCAACCATCCCACGGTTCTGTGATATTTATGGACCCTTCCAACCCAACCATCCCATGATTCCATGATCTTTAAGGTCCCTTCCAACAGTTGCATCCTGATCTTCATGGGAAATGCGCTCCCTGCCTCCCCAGCTTTGGGGTGCAGCTCATGTAGGAACCCAGCAGCTTGGCCACCCCTGATCTTTGTCATGCAGACTTGGATCTGTCACTGCAGAGCCCAGGGGAGGTGGCAGGAACCCACAGGCTGTTACCTCCCAGGTCTTGGCAAGGCGGCTCACGGCTGTGTTGCT